ACAGCTAAGATGCTGAACAACAGCTTGACCTGGAGATGGGCTGCCGTGAGTCACCGGCTACGGCATAGGCTGCAGCCCCTGTGGCAGTGGGTTGCCATGGGCTACCATGTGTAGCCAGCAGCCAGCGTGAGCGGCCAGTAGCCGCAGTGAGTGGCCGTCCAGAAGCTGGCGACTGATCTGCCTCACCCGGGAAGAGTGCAATGATGGTGCCAACTTGGGCCAGTGAAGCAACATTCCCCACAACTAGACTGAAGAACAAAACAACAGCGACTTGTCTGTTCCCCTTCCCCCAATTTCCCAGCTCTGTTCCCATCCCTCCAATTCCCCAATAAAAAAAATCTTAAAAAAAAGAATAAAAACAAACCAGCAACCCGAAGCCCCCCCCAGATCCCCTTCCAAGCACTTCCCACTACCCAAAGAATAACCACTATTGTGATTCTAACCCTACAGATTATTTTTGTCTGACTTTGAACTTTTTATATAAATATTTATGTATTCATTTGTGTCTGGCTTCTTTCATTCCACATTATGTTGTGAATTCATCTGTGTTGTGCTAAATAAAGATCTCTCAGCCTCTGAGAATCTTAACAGTTTAAGGAATCAAACTTTTATTGAGCCTCTACTATGTGCTGGGCATCTTCACGTAGATTATTGCACTTGGTTACTTCTCCTTCCTCTGGGGTCCCAAAAGTGCTCCGCTTGGATCTCTAGCCCAGCACTACTGCTTTGCATTTGTTTCCATGCATTCCGCCCCCCCCCCCAGCTGAATTGACTCATCAGGACCTCTGGGGATCGGAACCAGCACCAGTATATATATTTCAAGTTCCTGGGGGATTCCAATATCCTGCCAAGACTGAGCACCAGTGATTTAGACTAAAAATTTTAGAGCCATGTGGTAATGAGGCAGTAATAAAGTGGGCATTGCCTGGGTGATCTTAGCTGGCCCTGCTTCAGGCAGAGGGTTCCAAATACCAGCCTGGGATCAGAAGGAAGATTGGGGTGGGGCAAGTCGGTGGAGAGCAGGTGCTGCCTCCTGGAAAGACCCGCAGAGTCCCCTTAGAGGGAACAGGCTGCGAGCAGTGGCTTCAGAGCAGACCAGAGCCCCACACCCCTATGGGCATGCTGCAAACGCAATTCATGGGGCTCTCCCCAGACCTAAGGTTCAGACTTCTAAGGAGTCCATGCACATAAAAGTTTGAAAACCACAAATTTAAAAAGCAGCCAAGTTCATGATATGGAATCCAGAGTGACATGGTGAGGTCCCCGCTGCTGTTCTGTTACCATGGGGACAGGCAGTGCCTCAGCATCCTCATCTGTAAAATGGGTCTTCTGATCCTTAAGGCTGTTTCCAACAAGAGCCTCAGCTTGAGCTGAGTCTGAATTGGTTACAGGTTGAAATCTTTGAAGTCGCCATCAATACCTTAAAAAAGATACTACTTTCAAAAAAGTTGTATTTGGCTAGTGGGGCATTTCTAATGATGACTCGGGAAACAAGTGAAAGAGTGGGGAAATGTATTAGGGCAAAAATGCATAAGAGAAATGGTTAAAATGTAACTGAAAAAGAAAATTTTAAACATTATAATAAATAAATTTAAAAAAAAAAAGGAAAAATAGTTAAAGTAACTGCCCCCTTCA